CGATTGATTTTGTTCTTCGAAATAGTATTGCCAGTGTAACTAGTGCACTGCCAATACTTTATCGAAGACATCACTGCAAGATTTGTGATGTTTGATTGATTTTGCCGTCCTGTACCTGGGTAATCAGACCCTCCGGTACTCAAACATGGCTAGCTGAAAAATCCACCAGCAGTAGTTCGATCATTCTCACAGCTACGAAATTTTACAATCCTCCACAGTTTTTACGGCTTTACAATATGATTTGCCTATGAAAAGTGGTGATTTTCCAGTCAGCCCTGGTAGTTAACTGGAGGGTATGACATGCTGTTTGCCTTTCCATGCCTTTCCTTGTCCGCCAAGGAGCTCGAGCACGCAGGCCCCGGCCTTGGTTCATGTGGGAGCGAAGCTTGATATTTAGGACCCACAATCGCTCATTGTGCTATTTATCCACCTGGAAATTTTCTAATTAATTAAATGCCGGTGTGTACCACCAAAATTCTGTATGTTTACTGGGACTAAAAAACAAATAACACCAAAAAATGGATTAAATCTGCACATGTTAAAGAATTATTATTACATAGATAAAATTAAAATAAAATCGAAATATAGTATTGTACATATTGATTTTGTTTTGGGATTTTGGCCGTATGCAAAGAAATTGAAGAGGGGGTTAGGGGACAAAATATTTTTTGAGATGTTGGATAGATATGACCGAAATTCAGAACCTGGGAGATAAAAAATTACTATATTTCTAAAATAATTTTTGATGTAATATGGATGTTATAACTAACATCTCCATAATTTAACATCATTGTATGGGTATTGAACCATTCGTTTTGAAGGAGTTTTCGTTTCTATCGCTTTGAAGACCTGATGCCATCAGACCAAGGCTGCCATGGAAATCGTCATCGTTCCTGTGCCACCAATGGCGCCTGTGCGACTTCGAACCGGACCAGACGGCCTATGTTCTCTCCTTGCATCATCCTGGCTAAAGCAAAGCGACTCCATCGCTTCTTTATCAATTTCGCGGCCATTTTGACCAAGTACCAATGAGTCAGAGTTGTATTTCAGGGCCAAAAAATGTTTGTTGCTGATCTGCTCGCATTTTGTGCTTGGCTTCAGAACTAAAATCACCCATCTAACGAGTTCGATGTATCTACCATGACCCTAGGTAGCTTAATTAGGAACATGGATGCAGTAAACTAACTTCGCCAACGGTTTGGGGCACCACCTTGTGGTACTTGGTTCGTGTTTGTGCTTATCGCACTTTTGAGTGGGTTTCAAACCCGCAAACACGAACCACCAAGGTGGTGCCTCAAATCCTCAACTAAATTGGTTGTTAGCTTAAGTAGTTTGATTATAGCCAGGTTTACAACATGGTCTACGCATGTCTATGTTAAACATATCGAACTACTTGGACAGGAACATTCCAACAGACATAACATTTGATGGCTCAAGTTGCATTAAATATATTAAATCATATTCAATGCATTAGAATCCCATTAAATCCTCATTTCCAATGGTTGTGTATCCCAAAAGCCAGGGGTCACCACATTCTCTTGGCAAGTCCAAGTTGCTGGTGTCAGGATGGAGAGAGCGAAGGGTTCCAAGGGCCGCCAAAAAGCAGCAGCGCAGGCAGGATGTTTGACCCTGACGTCAGCATTTTGTGGCGATTGAATCAACCATGTTCTGATGGGTTTAAACTTATTATCAGGATGGTTTGTAGATGATACGAGAGACCAAATTCCGGAAACTGCATCCCATCTCAAGTGCTGCAACACAGTCAATCGTTTTTTTGATCTAGGGATAGAAGAGCTATATTGAGATGTGACTGGGATATGGTAATTAAACGTAATTGAGATTAATTAACTGATTGTACTGTACGTCACTTAAAATATACATCCCATGACCCTCCCAGGGTTCCCATGGGTTTTTTGAGAGCTACTGATTGACCACCACCGTCCCAATGGTGAGTTGGGACGGGTCCTTGGTCGTTGGTCGAATCCAAGTTCCATGATGGTTGGGATGGGGAGAAACGCCTCGACAGCGCTGAGTTCCTGTTTAGGAATGGTTAATACTTATTACTGGTGGGTGGTTTGGAACCATGGAATTTTATGACTTTCCATATATTGGGAATAGTAGTCCCAACTGACGAACTCCATCATTTTTCAGAAGGGTTGAAACCACCAACCAGATACTTATTATGGTTTTATTATGATTTTGGTTGTAGGATATTCATGGATATTCCATTTATGTCCATTTATGTTCACTTATGTCCACTTATGTCCATTTATGTCCACTTATGTCCATTTATGTCCGTCCATTATTGTTTTAAGATGTTTTAAGTGGAATGTCACAATGTCAGACAAATTGGGACCCCTCTTTGGTGGGGGGCTACTACAGGTTTCTTGAACAGATTCTGATTTTCAGATTGAAAGAATTGATATGATATACCCATTTATATCCATTTATCATATGTTGATAATTTAATCAGTCTGATATTTACCTCATATATACATCATATGTTCATATATATATACATATGTGCATATATGTGCATCACATGTTCATTTTGCTCCAACATTTCTGTTTTATCAGGTTCCATATCAAGCTGTCATTGATTTCTGTAGACGATCCTGGAAGATCTCCGAAAGTCGCGGTTGAAACAACTAGGGTATTTGTTTGGGTTTATGTGATATATATATATATACACACATAATGTTTGTATATATTTATATATTATATATGTGTATTAAAATAGATAATACATTTATTATATTATATATATATATTATAATATATATATATATATCAACAAAGTATACTTTTTACACACATATATATATATATATACAGTATATATATATACACAGTGTGTATATATATATATATTCAACTTGTTCATGGGTGTTTTCAACCAACAAGCAAAACTGGCCGGCTCTACATTATTGCACAAATTCAACCCATGATAAACTAAAAAACACCAATTTACCAATAGAAAAGTTACCCATGTTTTTAGTAGTTAGTCAGCAGAATGTATTGATTTACGGTTGACATTACCATCATGAGCAGATTGCCTGTTTCCAATACTTCTCTAAGCCAATTGAGAACTTAAGTGGCCATTGAAATCGGGAACTGCCATTTTTGACCACTTTCACCCGCCAAATCCGTTACATGGAACCCTAAAGAAGTTCCCAATGCGAACATTCTTTTTCAGACCTATCTAATCTCTGGGTTCAAAATGGAATGATGATAGAAAGTGGGGCTGCCCAAGGATAGCTAAGTTGGTTAAACTAACAAGTACTATAGTTAATGGTAGACCTCTAGTGAGTGGCGGTTACAAGTCAGCACACATAAGGGGCCCACCTTGGATGTAGTTGGCGTGAGATGTCTCTATCCTTGGTGGTTGACTCACCAGGGTTTTGATGTTTATATATCTAAATCCTATTAGATTCCCATGATCTTGTAGATATTCCCAATGCTTATAACCAGTTATCATTGAACCACATTACAGGTGGTTTATCCTACTCATGAACTAGATTGCAACACCGATCGGAAAAGTGGGCAAATACCTGACCCCATTTCACCAAGTGCCTATCCATCAATATCCTACAGGATGGGCCCCCCCAGTTATGTTTATTGGTTTATAAACCATTATAACCCCCCTGAAAACTAGTTCGTTTTATATACCAGCCATAAACCATCGTTTTTTTCGCCACTGAAATAAGGCGACGGTTCACGCAACAACCAACGGGGGCCCCATCCTGTACAATATCAAATCAGGAGGCGGGAAATCGATCACTCCTGGATTAACATTATAGCAACAGCAAAAATAGATAGAACAATTGCTGGTCGGTGGTTCGGACATTTTTTCCCCAATAGTTGGGATGATGATCCAATCTGACTAATATTTGGACTTCACCAGATAGCTGATGATACGGATGCTGATCAGTGTGTCACAGTGTGGGATCCTCTGCTTGTGACTGGCCTTGTCCAGCAGGATGTCCCTGCCACTTGGTCTCAGTTGGTTGCTGCCTTGCGACCTATGACAACTGTTGTCTCTGCGGTTGTGTTGGGGGGTCATTGGGTCCTGTTGGTTTGGAGGATTGACACAGTTGGGGCAAGGCTGCACACGTTGGCTGTTACGGTGGAATATGAGCCCGTCCTGGAATCCCTGAGTCGGGTGATTGAACTGTACCGTGGGGGGGCAAGAGGTGTCTGGAAAGCTCATGGGCCTGGATTTACGCCCAGTGGTTACTGTGGTGCTTTGGCTTTGGGATTTGTTCGTCATCTGTTGTGGGGGTGGCCTTTGGTTGATGACCAACCCTCTTTGCAATGGATTTCTGAGCAGATGAGGAAGGATTTTGCAGAACAACTTCCGGAACCGTGTCTCCGTCCAATGCTGGCTGGTTTGGGTCTCACAGTTCAGGCTCGTCTGGCTGACCTTCTGAGTAGGCATGGAGTGCCCACACAGGATGCGATGAGTCGTGCATCAATGGCAATCAAGGCTCTGGGGGAAGATGGAATTGGTAAGGCACTGGATTCAGACAACCAATTTAGGCAACCAATCTAGGCCACCATATATGTTCATCAAACCCTCTGAGTTGCAAACACAGATTGCCCAACGTGACAAAGACAAGCCAGTTGGACACAAGAAGCACAAGGCCCGCCCGACCAAGGGTAAGGGCAAGGGCACCCAGTCACCCGTCAGTGTTGACCCAGCTTCGCTGCGACTTGAAACTGGGATTTTCCAGAGTGAACAGGGTCAGTTGCTGCCTCAGCTTGGGTTGTCACAGGTTGGACCGTCAGCGGCTGGGGTTGTGGTTGCATCTGTGACTACCATTGAGCCCTACTTGAAAGCCAGCAACCTTTTGTCAACTGGTCCATTGGCCTTCTTTGTGGTTGATTCACCGGATGTCCCAGTTAGTGGTTTTCATGTCACTGCTGAGCGTGTCCCGTTGGTTTGTGCTGTCAATTCCGAGCCGTTGTTGATTGATGGCCACCTTGTTCAGCTTGGTGCTATGCGTGTTCAGCGAGCTCCACTACAACCAGGATGTTCTGTCCAGTCAATCCCAACTTGCGTGGTGAAGGCAATGATCTTCCGTGACCAAACACAAGTGCCATGGTCTGAGGTAGTAATGCATCCGTTGTTGCATATCTTTGCACAGGTGCCACCTCTCCAGAAGTGCCCTGACATGGAATGCTGTGGTTGTGAATGTTGGCATCGGTCCGCTGACTTCCCTATGGACACCCCGGTTTTGGAAGTGTGGGGTAAGCAATGGTTGCAGTTGGATTTCAAACATGCCTCACCAGACAAAGCAGAACTGTTCACAGCTCACATGAGGCTGCCAGAATGCATGCAAATGCAGGTCCAGCACTTCTCAGGCCATGATGGAGTGTTCCTTGAACCCAAGTCGATTGACGGCAGAAACCCATCACCGGAGTTTACTGTCATTTGGATGCCAAAGGTTGAAGAAGCTCAGCTCCTTGTGCAACGTCAGACCGTGGCTCACGTGGTGGGTATGGCCCGCGTGGTTCACAAGATGGGCTTGCGATGCCGAACAGAACATGCAGCTGAGGTTTTTTCCACATTGAGACCTGGCCAAACCTTCCTGCCGCCTGGCAAGAGGCAGACGTACCTGGTCGGCCCTTTTGAATTTGGTACCCTTCAGACCTCAGTCACACAGGTGCTGCACTCCATAGGCTGGGTGGCAAAGCCGATTCATGCAGTTGCCGCAAAAACCCATGTGCATGGTTTGATGTTCAGGGTCCAATCGGCGCAAGAACCTCCCAAGAAGGTCATCCGTATGACTCATGGCGATGTCATGATTGCCGAAGAGGATGAGACACCGGTGCCAGAAAAGGTCTTGCCGAAGGTGGTTGCCACTTCCACCACGGAGTCGATGATCTCCAAACCCTGTGAACAGGACTATATCCGGCAGCATGACCCATGGGCGAAAGCAGCCAGCCGTTTGCCGACTAAGACAGCCACGTTCCAGATCGGCAATCCCCTGGAGGACATGACACAGAAAGTCATAGCGGAGGTCATGGCGCAGATCCCCAAAGGATCCATGGAAGTTGACTCTGATGCAGGGCAGTCCAATAGAGTGGCAGCTCTGGAGCAGCAATTTCAGGAGCTACATGGTCAAACACAGGCACTTGCTGCAGCAACGCAAAAGACTGCCCAGGAGACAGCTACCCAGATGCAGGAAATCAGGGGTCAAATCCAGCAGCAAGGAACCCACTTTGAAAGTGCCATTGCCGCTCAAGCCTCAACGATCCAAGGTTTTCAAGATGCATTTCAAGAGCAGTTTCGCCAGCAGGTCAATCACCAGCAGACAATGTTGGATAACATGTTCAGCAAGCAAATGTGTCAATTCGAAACCTTGTTGGCAAAGAGACCTCGCCAAGAGTGAAGGTGCCCAGTCGTGCATCCGACTGCCATGTACGATTGGGTTGTATGCAATGGTGGTCACATGGTTGGAATTTTGCTATGGGTCTTATGGATTTTGGGCCGCGTTGGACTTCCCTGGCCCCTGGCCTTTTGGATTTCTGGCCACTCTCCGTTTTGGATGTGTGCCTTTTTTGGACTTGGTGGCGGGTTGTGGGGTTTGAAGGAAACCTGCAATGTCGCCTGGTATAACCATGAGGTGCTTAGGAACATGCACTGTGCCTTGTGGGTTGTTTTCACCTGGTGGATGGTTCACTTTCGAAGCCTAATGTGGTTTGCTCAGATGCTACTGCAGGGCTCAAACGGTGGTTGGACTTGGACTTTTTCCACCAAGAGGCAGGGTCCTGGGGGTTCCTTGTCCTTTTCAGTGTGTACAGTTTTCCGAAGATGGTATCTTTTGTTTGCACTTTGCAATTGTTTGCGCGTAGGTGAAGCCTTGCACCCAGGTCCGCATGTTGCCACTTCATGGACACTGGGCATTGCAAATCCCTCTGGGCTTAATGGCAAGTTAGACCAGGTCAACCATTTGCATGGGGACACTTGGATTTTGTCGGAAACCCACCTTTCACAGAGAGGCTTGACTGCGTTCAAAAAAGGGTTGCGTATGTTGGAAAGCCCGTGGAAGTACACAGTCCCAGGTGCTCCGTGCCAGCCGAGACAACATACTGACACAGGCGTCCACTCTGGTGTCCTGATGGTCTCCAAGCACCCAGCCCGACCATTGCCTCATGCCTTTGATGTCCAGGTTTACTCATCTGCCAGGGTGCAAGTGGCTGGGGTTGCGCTGGCGGACACTTGGGTTACAATTGGAATGATGTATGGTTTCCCTTGTAATGCTTCCCATAAGCAGGCCAGATACCAGACAGATGCTATGTTGGCAGACCTTGTTGACAGGGTTGGTTGCCAGGCAGCTGGCCCGCGGGCCATTGGAGGTGACTTCAATTTTGGGCCGGATGAACTAGGGCAGCTACACAGACTCCATACCCTGGGTTTCACAGAGGTACAAGACTTGCGTGCTTGGCGTACTGGCCACTCGGTTGAAGCAACGGGAAGGGGCTCCAAACGCATTGATCAACTGTGGATTTCCCCTGAACTTCAAAGAGCTCTTACTGGGGTTAAGGTGGAATTTGACCATTGGGCAGATCATGCAGCCGTGATGGCTACCTTTGAGCATGCTGGACTTGTTCGACACCTTTGCAGTTCCCATGGCCGAAGGAGTGGACTTGTCAGGTTGATACCGCATCAGATGGAGACCTCTCTGTTGGGTATGCCAAGTTTTGGAATCAGGTTGAAACACAAGCCAAGTGCTGGGTGCGTCACCAGGGTGTTCCTGTTGTCAAGGGTCAGTTTGGGAGGGCCAGTGTTTTAGAGCCGAAAATGGTGAAGGAACATCTGGCTCCAGTGAAAAAGGGTCATCTTGGGGATGTTCAACCATCCTACATGGGGGTCAGTCTCCAGCATGCCAGGTTTTTCAAGCAGCTCAGGCGCCTGCAGTCTTTGTCGCGTATCCTTGCCAAGGGGGTTGCTACTTGGAGTGGGCGTATCAACCGGGATGAAACCTGGAGGGCAATCCGTATGGCAGCTGGTTTCCCAGGAGGGTTTGGGGAGTGGTGGACTTCACAGGGATTGGAACCCAAGCTGAGTGGACCGTTGCCCCTTCTTTGCCCTGCGTTGGACTTTGCCCAGGGCCTCTTTGTTGGATTTCAACAGTTTGTCCAGCGGTATGAACAAACACTTATTAGCCAGCGGTATCAACATGCAAAGCAGCGTAGGGCCCAGGGATTGTCTTATGTTTTCCAAGACTGCCGTGATGATCCATTGCCTCAGGCCGACACGCTTCTTGACAGACTTGAGGTTGGGGTTGAAGAAGTGAGATCTGAAGACAACTCCCTGGTTTTGGTTCGGCCTGTCAAACTCTTTGAAGGGTTGCCAGTTGTGGTTGAGGGTCAGGTAGTTGAGGTGGTAGCTCAGCATGATGATCAGGTGTGGCTGTCGTCGGTTGAGAGTTTTCAGCCTGGTCATGTTCTCACGCAAGAACGTGCCATCAGTTCAGATGCTGATATCCTGTCACGCTTTGCCAATGTCTGGAGTGAGAGATGGAACAAGCATTCCCATGTCCAACCGGGCCAGTGGGACCAGATTTGTGGCTTTCTTGAAAAAACAGCCAGGCCAATTCAATGGACTTCTGCCCCTTGGACCGTTTCCCGTTTCCAGCTGGCAGTGAAGCACAAAAAGCCGAAGGCAGCGAAAGGACCGGATGGGGTAACACAACCTGATTTGGCTGCTTTGCCTGATGCGGCCTGCGAAGCTCTTCTTGACATCTACCGGGCGGTCGAAAGGGGCGCCAGATGGCCCCTCCAAATGGCCAGTGGATTTGTGGCCAGTCTTGCCAAGGTACCCACAGCTCAATGCGTGGATGAGTTTCGTCCGGTCGTGGTGTACAGTTTGGCTTATCGAATCTGGTCCTCCGAGCGTGCAAGGGAGGCACTTCACTCAGTCTCCACTCTCCTGCCGGCCAGTGTTCATGGTGGAGTCCCGGCTCGACAGGCCAAGACCATCTGGTATGAGCTGGCCTCAGTGATGGAAGACGGTTTGCATGGGCTCCTGATGGATATACAAAAGTGCTTCAACAACATCCCCCGCCACCCTCTTTGCTGTGCACTTGTCCTTATGGGTTTCCCTGAGTCAGTGCTTCGAGCGTGGGTAGCCTTTGTGTCTGGGCAATCTAGGCGGTTCAAAGTCCGTCGGTCAGTGGGCCCACCCATTCTTTCCAATTGTGGACTTCCAGAAGGGTGTGCCATGTCGGTTTTTGGCATGACGATGATTGACTGGATTTTGGACTGGTGGCTAAGTGGCCTTGAGGTTTCTGTTGACTTGCGTACGTTTGTGGATGACTGGGGGGTCATGTTTAGGTGTGCTGAGGACTTGCCACGAATTTGGGCATCAATGGAACAGTTCACAGGCCACCTGGACTTGGCCATTGACATGTCAAAGACGAGGTTGTGGTCGACAGAAGCTACTGCACGTTGCAGCTTCCGCAGTGGCAGTTCGGTTGCAGTGACCTTGTCGGCACGGAACCTTGGAGCGCACCAAAACTTCAGTCGTCACTGTCATAACTCATGCCTCCAGGCAAGGTTGTCACGGATGCCCCAGGTCTGGATTCGACTCAGGGCCAGCCAAGGACCCTATCGGTTTAAGGTTACAGCTATCCATATGATGGCCTGGCCCAAAGCCTTGCATGGGATCTCTGCTGTCCATTTGGGTGCATGCCATTTCAAAACTTTGCGGGCAGGGGCTGTACGTGCTCTCAGGGCGGATAAGAAGGGTTCCAATCCATTCTTGCACCTGGTTACGTCTGCACTGTTGACGGACCCAGAAGCCTGGTCGATTGTTCAGACTGTTCGTGATGTGAGGGAGTTTGGGTCTGATCAGGTGGAACCGCTGTTGGGCTTGTTTGCAGGAAGTGGGGATCGATTACCTCAAAATGGTCCCACTGCAATTTTGTGCTCGCGTCTGTTGCGATTGGGGTGGGGCATTGGGGGTCAAGGCCTTGTTCAAGACCGCTTGGGCACCTTCAGCTTGATGTCGATCCCATGGGATGAGTTGGTTTTGCGTATCAAGCTCTCATGGGGATCAGTCTTGGCTCGGGAACTCAGCCACAGACCTACCTTTGATGGACTTGAAAATGTGGACTTGTATGAGCTTTACCGAGCCCTAGCTGTGTTTGGTCCAGCTGATTTGGTTTTTCTGCGCTGTCATCTTGATGGTACGCTTTTCACGCAGAATGGAAGAGCCAAGTTTCAGGAGGGGGTCACAGACAAGTGTCCATGGTGCCCTGAAAAAGATGGATTTCATCACCGGGCCTGGATTTGCCCACACTTCACTGCGTGTCGTGCTCATGTCACCCCTGACCAGCAGCGTGCACTTGCCACCCTCCCCCCTTGTTTGGTCGATCATGGTTGGCCTGTGTTGGTTCCGGAGTGGGAAGTTTTTGCGGGTATGTTGCTGCGGTCTGATGGACTTTGTAGGATGTCACCAGCAGAACCCCCAAACGGCAGTGACCTGCAACCGCTGGAACTTTTCATGGATGGTACAAGTGCTTTTCCAAAGGAGGTGAAGCTCAGATTTGCAAGTTGGGCATTGACACTGGTTTCAGGCGTGGGAGTTTTGGATAACCAAGTCCTCATGGGAGGCCATGTCTCTGGCTTATGCCAGACAGCTTTCAGAGCAGAGCTGACAGCGGCCCTCCATGCAATCAGGTGGGCCGTTGTCCATCGCAAGAAGGTGAGACTATGGTGCGACTGCCAGAGTGTGGTGCGGGGAGTCAACAAAGCTCTGCGACGCAGACGGTGGAAGCGCAATGGCCCTCACTCCGATTTGTGGGAGCAACTACATGCTTGGGTTTCCGGCAATGAAGACTTAATCCAAATACGGAAGGTCGTCTCTCATGGTGCAATTCATCGGGCTTTGGACCCCCTGGAGCAATGGGTTTACTGGCACAATAATCTGACTGACAAGGCGGCAGAAGCCATTAACTATCGCCGGGAGCCAGAATTTTGGGCTGTGTGGACACAGTTGCGGAGTGCACTAGAATTTCACCGGCAGTTGCACTCTGCGATCCTACGGGTTCTTTTACAGACGTCGAAGATGGCTGCAGCTGAACAACGACCGCTTCGGGTCACGCCACAGGTGGTGGAGGGAGCTCAAACAGTGCAGGTGGAACAGGTCGCTTGGGACATTCCCAGATCTTTGGTGCGTAGGTATGGAGAGACCAATTTACAGAAACTGCATGAATGGTGGACAGCATGGGGCCCAACAATGATGACAGGCTCCACTCCGTTGTCCCATATTTCAGGGTTACAGCTGTTTGTGTCATTCAACCTGCACACTGGATACCAAGGGCCGTGGTGTTTCAAGCGGCGATGGTATGACAAAGAGGAGGATGTTCCAGCAAAGGGCCGTCAAACCTGGGGAAACAGATGCAAACCATTCCTCATGCTTCTTCGTAGCTATTGGAAGGGAAACAAAATCTTGGTCCCTACAAAGATGGCTCGTCCAACATCTACGGCTGTTGCCAAATGGGTAGTATGTTACCGCCTTCGGTGGGATGCTGCCATGGTCGACAAAGTAGATCAGGCCCTTCTCACCCAACAGGGCCGTCAGACCGTAAATGCGGCTGACGTGGCAAGACTTCATGCCGCAAGACGCGGCTAGGCGCGCGAACAAGGTGGGATGCGGGGTCGCGTGCAGCCCCGTGTCTCAACAACAAAGTGTAACAAAGTGTAATATTTTTCAGGGGGTTGAAACCACCAACCAGATTGGACAAATTGAAATTATTGGGGGGCAATGGTGGGCAATGTCTTCTATAACATCCTGGAAAGACTGTTTGGAATCTTCTTGGGGACCCCATGAGACTTATTTAACCCATGATTTACCCATGATTTTCATGTGTGCAGTGGTCAAGAGATGGATCATGCTTGCGGCTGAGCGATTTGGTTCAGCGGGCGCCGCTGGTTTAGAGCACACAATGGCCTTGGTCTACGACAGTGCTATGATGTCCAAGTTGTTTGAAGGCACGTGGCCAATCGAGTTCAGTGTTTGGCGCGGCTTGCCTGAGGAGGTGGTTGGGCCAGCTGGTAGTGGACTGAGGCATGTATTGCATTCAAGATTCAGAGTGAGAGTGCAGCGCCTGAATGGCAAGTTGATGGCACCAGAAGCAGTTGGGCATTACACTGCTCAAGCGGTGGCTGAATTTGAACTTGGAGCCCTCTCCATCACAGAGACACAACAACTATGCATCCTTTATGAAAAAGCTGAGAAAGGAGAAGAGAAACGCTTTGGAGGATTAATTCGTCTGTTTTCAATTAGGTGCGTTGTCATTTGTCCGTCATTCCCGCCACCTGTGCCTGGGATGATTGACTGTGCGGTCGACAGACTCGCATGCTTGGTGTCAAGAGATGGATTGTATACCCATATTGGGGAATGATCGTCAATCCATTTCAGAGGGATGCCCATGGAATAGGCCGGATGATCATAGACCATCTAAAACGATTATATCCAGATTTTAATCCCATTACATCTCCATGATATTCCCATGATATCTCGACATATCTCCTATATCCTATACCTATTGATTATTGGTCATAAAGTTACCATTGTAAGCCATGTAACTTGACTGCAGATGTGATTCAAGGCACTCCAGGTGACGGTGACTACGGTGACGGTGATCGTGATCGCAGGTGTTTAGCCCTGGCCATTGCAGGGCTGCCCATGCCGGGTGGAGTTGCGAAGGTGATGCCGTTAGAAGTAGCCTGGTTCATGGGTTCATATAGGGACTTCTATTATTTTTTGTTGGGGATTATGATCACACAAAATTGTAGGAACATCATGGAGATGTGTGATTTAGCCATGAACACTTGGATTTTAGTGGAATTTAAGCCACCCATGACCGAACTTGGCACAGTTCCCAACGAGTCCAAGAAAGAGTCTTTCGCTTTCATTGGGAGAAGCCAAGGTAATTTAGCAGGTGAGCTGCTAACCAACCAAGGGATTCAATCAAAGAAAACTTAAATGGAGATTGAGTATGTTTGTGAAAATGAGAAATTTACCAGCAATCCATGAGAGTACAATGCGGAATATGATGGAACATCATGGGAAAACCTTGTTTCGGTGATGTCACGTAAGCTTTCAAACAAGGGGGATTGAAGCGACAGACGCTGGAGATTCAACCAAACAAAAAGGGGATCCAACTTGCAGACATCTGATGTTTAACCACCATGAAACAAGGATTTGAGTTGAACCAACAAAGATTGTGTAGTTATATAGTAGCCCCAAAAATAGATAGAACTTTAGTTTGTGACTAATGATTTTAGATAATAGAATTTTGCCGTGTTTCTATCTTTTGGGTTGCTCTGTGTGTGTGGATATCGTAGTGTCCGGGACGAGCCGAGCCAAGGTCCTGCAAACGATCACGGCCCTGGATTCGTTGGATGACGTCAGCGATGCCACGTTGCGCTTGGGGTTGCCACTGGGTCAAGGCATGTGAGTATGAACCCACAATTTTTTATTGGCGATTTACCCTCTGGTAAACTAACGTAGTGAACTAGAAAATCACCATGTCTAAAACGTAAATCAACTATAAATGGGCCATTTCCAATAGCTATGTTAACTTACCAGATGGGAAACCGTCTCCAACCTTTCATTTTGTAGGGCCCATCATGGACCCACATACAACTTGCTGGCCAGATTGACTCCACTCTGCTCAAAAGATGGCAAACCAAAAGGTCATTGATGAAATGTAATGTACATCATGTACATCAATGGCCCTTGAAAGCCTGGCTTAGTAGTGGATCTATTTATTTTTCTGAAATCCCAGTTGATGGAGGTATTGAAAATTAGGCGAATGTGCAAACTGGGGAGATCTCAAAAGCTCATACAATCTGAAACTGGTTGGCTTTCCTTCACGAGGTGGCAATAATAGATGCGGTCATTGCACGACAGAAATTGTGGCCATTCCGCGCAGCTGTTTTTAATTCGGATCTCACACAAGTTTGATGCATCGAGACGCTGGCATATTTTCTTGTTGGGTAGTATATACTTGTATGTAATTGGCGTGATTTTACATACTGTAGAATCGGATTTATTCCGCCAGTTGGGTGAATTACTGGTTGGTGGTTTCAAACACTTTTTATTTTCCATAATATATGGGATAATCCTTCCCATTGACTTTCAATACTTTCAATGACTTTCATATTTTTCAAGATGATTAAAACCACCAACCAGATTAGTTCTCATAATTCAGCCAGATGACTTTCAAGGTTTTCTGTGATGCCTTAGTGAAATCAAGACCGATAAAAAAAATCTGTGATGCCTCAAAGTAGCATTTTCCAGCAGTATTTTTTCTGGTTGGTGGTTTGGAACATGATTTTTATGACTTTCCATATATTGGGAAGAATCATCCCAACATATCCCAACTGGCTTTCATATTTTTCAGAGGGGTTGAAACCATTAACCAGTTTTGTACTGGTGGCTCCGACATGGTTAGTTGAACTATATCTAAACCAACTAGACGACCAAGTTGTTCTGGATTTCGGATTCCAGTCACATTGTGTGATTCCTCGCCAGGTCGCTAAGCTACCAGCAAAGTAAAGTAAAGCATCGCGAAGCATTGGTAGATAACATTGAAGAACTTTGAACAAATGGAAACCCGGAAATGATGCGAGACTATAAAAAAATATATATATATTTATTTATTTGAAAAAACAACTGAAATAGTTGTATATATCTTTATCCGTAGATTAAATCATTTTTTTCTTCGTTTTTTTTTCTATATGTGTTCTTTTAATTTCCCGATATGTACATATCTATATATATATATGTAAATGTATATATATATGTATATAAACTATCAAGAGATTTTTGGCCACCAGCTTGTGACCTAGCGCCATGCCCGAGAAGAAGACCGGTCTGGAGAAGGTCAAGGACTTTTCGCGGCTGAGGGCGTGGCTAGCGATATGTGGATGGTATGTATAATATTTTATATATATATACAATTTGTAGTATATTTAATTGCCTTCGGCAAGCCCGCCGGCCATAGAGAGGTGGCCCCCAAGGGAGGTTGATGTGCACGCTACGTGGAAGCCTGAGAGAAGAAGAGACAAAGACAGAGCCGTAGATCAGAAGCAGCTTGAGTAGCAAGTGCGTGCTTGAACCACCAACGGAACGCATACCAAATGAGTACTAGTCGATCAGTACCGTGTGCGTCCTGTGACAATGTAAGCAATGTCATTAGCTACCGGCACGACCAGTGTAGTACTTGGGGGAGAAGGGAGGAAGGAGTAGAGGAGTCGGAGTCGGAGTAGGCGTCGGAGCAGGCGTCGGAGTAGGCGTCGGAGTAGGAGTAGGAGTGGTAGTAGTAGTGGTGGTGGTAGTGATAGTAGTAGTAGTACTACTACTACTGCTACTACTACTACTACTACGACTACTACTACTACTACGACTACTACTACTACTACGACTACGACTACGACTACGACTACGACTACTACTACGACTACTACTACTACTACTACTACTACTCCCTACTGCTACTGCTACTGCTACTGCTACTGCTACTACTACTACTACTACTACTACTACTACTACTTGTACTTGTACTTGTACTTGTACTTGTAGTACTTGGAGGACGGGGGGGTGACCTTGATTCAGACGAAGCAAAAACGCGCAGCAAGAGAACAAAGGAACAAGTACAAGCCAAGAACATGAACAATAACAAAACCTTCCAATCAGACACGCCAGCAGGCCGGCGGATTAATAGTATATACATAGCATAAATGAATATATATATATATTTAATTATACATATATGTATATATGTAAAAACCATGAATGGTATATCAACTAATGTAATCAAAGGAAATTTAGTTGGAAAACTTCGGAGTTACGGAGGTTGGTCCTGGTTAGCATTCACTCCATCATATCACCCACCCATCATCAAGTAGTTGGGAAGTGAAAGAGTCCGGGAGCCTGTGAAATTCACGGGTGAGAACACTCTCGCAAAACCCTATTTTTACCTGTCCTTCATCTGGGAAAGTTGTCGACAAAAAGGGCGCAGGACTGTGGCGAGAGCTCGATTAGCACTTCAAACATGGGCCATGGCTTCCATAGCTGTGGAAGAAATTACGACAGTCTATATTTAATGTTATATATACTTATATATATATATATTGTAGATATGTATAGATCATCATTATCCGGAGAGTTTTTTCCATAATGTTCCCCTTTGGAAGGCACTATGGTGGTTGCACATGGCGTCGATGACTTTGCCCGTAGGAACTTGAAGTGCTGGTGAAAGAGACTTTGGAGCCTCGGAGATTCGTCCGGCCAAATGGTTGTGTCTGGAAATTGGCTATGCCCCACAGGATGGAGCCCGCCAGTTGTAAGTTGGCTTATAACCATTATAAACCCCACTGAGTATAGTTATATGTACCATAAACCATAAAATTCAGCTACTTGTAAGGCAGCTTAGCTATCTTGGGGGCCCCTTCCTGCAACAATGGTTATTTTATTTGTAGGGACAATGATAAAAATGATGACAATCCGTCGGGATTTTGGGGATTTTAATGACATGTATATATTCGTTTTCTTGACATCGGATTTGAGCCCAAAATGTCATGTTCGCT